CCTTGTGCCCCTAAACAAGCCAGGAGGTGTGGCAGGTGGTAGAGCCCCTGCACAGCTCAGTGCAGAGATGATGGGAGCGCTGAATGGCGATAGGCCAGCAGCAGCGCTCCCCAACGTGGGCAGGGTGCCGCGGGGGAGAAAGGGAGAACTCTGCTGCTGTGGGCAGGTTCGAGCCACGCAAAGGATGTATCCCACTACGCGCAAGTCCTCTTGGGCTCCAGGTCCTGCTTTTTGGGTGGTCTCAGCATGGGGTGGGCTGTGGAGGAAGGGTCTGGCTGCCACCCCCAGCCAAGCGCCACTAACAGCTCCTGCCCCCTCCAGGGCAGCTCTTCTCCCCAGCAGGTATCGCACCCCTGCTACCCAAAGGGATACCAGGAGAACGTCACCGCTGCAGCCCTCTACGACAGCCCGTGTGTCCCCACGCCGAGCACAGCCAGCCCTGCACAGGTCTTCACGGTGACGGGGACAGGAGACCCAGCAGCGTGCAAGACAGCCATCGAGAAACTCTTCAACTTCAGCTGTGGGGCCCACAGGACGTGTGGGTTCAACGGCATTTATCAGCCCCCTGTGCAGGGGCAGTTCTTCGTAAGGACCCCTCCCTCCATGTGGTTGTGGCGCTGGGCGGGGCACGGCCTTGAAGTTTCCTCTTCCACTCTTTTTTGGACAGCAGGGAAGAGAGGGGACCCTAGGGCTGGTCCCACCTAAAAACTCTCCTCCTGACTTGGGAGATGTCTGCCACTTCCTTCTATGTCCAAGACATACTTGTGGAAAAAGGAAAGATCTCGTCCCTGTGGGACATATCTGAGGTTCCCCTGCTCCCAAACAAAAGCAGCAACCCTAGTGTCTGTCTACTGGCTTCTAGTCCTTGGCAGGTCCTCAAGCATGTGCTGCATGCAGAACCCTGGGAATAGCCGGGACTCTGTCTCTTAGCTAAAGCACACACTCGATTTGGGTACAATTTGGCTCAAGTAGTAGTGCTGAGGTGGTCTGCATCTAGCTCAGCCAGCCCTCGTCCTGTCCTGTGCCCCGCTCTCTCACTCCTCAAAGGCAGAGATGGCAGTACTGACCCCAACCTAGAATGGCTGCAAAGGGGACTTCTTTGGGGAAGAAAGAAAACATATTTTTTGCCATCTTTGTGTATGTTTACAGCTTTCCGTTATTCCTAGGCATTCTCTGGGTTCTATTATACCTTCGACTTCCTGAACCTGACTGACCAGCAGTCTCTAGGCCATGTCAACTCCACCATCTGGGCCTTCTGCAACAATACTTGGAAAGAGGTAAGAGCTCTGTGAAGAGCAGACAGGAGCCCTGTGCCTATCCAGGCCAATGAGATTCCTATGGAATCTCCTGTGGAGATTCTGGCTCTTCTTTCCACAGTTAGGCTTGCCTGTGGCACATGCAGGTACACTGGGCTGGGGGTGGAAGGTACAGAGGAGAAGCTTAATCTTGGAAAGAGATTACTGCTAAAGAGGTTCTTGGTACTGGTGTCCCTGCTTTAGTCATGAGGTTATTCAAGAGTGATGCTTGGGATGTCCAGGAAGAACACACCATGCTCTTCCCTGGGACATGGAAACCTTCTGAGCATCTGCTTTATTCCTCATCACACTGTGTCCCCCAATGGCCCTCAAAGCTGGTGGAGGACTTCCCACAGGAGACGGAACGCCTGCACATGTACTGCTCCATTGCTGTTTACATCCTGACACTGCTACTCGATGGCTACAAGTTTGATGAGCATACATGGAGCGGCATCCACTTCAGCAAGAAGGTAAAAGCTCTGAGGGGCAGCGGGAGCTGGGGGAGGCAGCTGCTGGCTACATTCTTTCCCTGGCGAGGAAGTTCAGGATAAGCATTCCTGGAGTGCACTGAGCTAGAAATGTATCCCTGCCTCAAGTCTGCCACCCAGTGATCTCACCACAGAATCACCAAAGTCTCTCACATCTACTCCTTTCTCATTTACTCAGGTGAGGACATTGGCTACTTTTAAGGGGATTGGAGAAGGGCAGAGCAAGATCTGCCGACTTTCATCTCTGATACAGAGCAGAACTGACATGAGGTTACACGGGGGAATGGTGGTCCCTGACCCACATGCATCAGAATATATTGAGGCTCAAAGGATCATAGAATTGAAAAGTTCCAATCCAAAATCACATGCAGGTCACATCTGGATGCAGATGTGAGGGCACATCTGGATCATAGCAGTCATTCATGTTCAGCTCCCCTTTAGTCCTTGGTGAAGGGAAAACAGCCAAAGCTCTGTGTGACTGGTGCTAATAAGACCAGGTTTGTAATAGCCAGGTCCATTTGTGAAATCCCTGCTGGGGCAGCTCTTGGGAGAGGTGCTTATCGGTCTGTTGTGCCAAAGCTATTGATCAGTGCATGGAAAAAGCACTTCTTGATGACCCCTTCTGCTCTTGCCTCAGGCAGCAAACACAGACATCGGCTGGACTCTGGGTTTCATGCTGAACCTCACCAACATGATCCCCACAGAAGCTCTGGTGCACGTCAAAGGGCAGAAGCCTGGACTCTGGGCAAGTGCCATCTTCTTCATTGCACTGGCCACTGTAGCAGGCTTGATGGCCATTTTTCTCCTGTGTTTCTGGAAACCCAAGTAGTTCCCTGGATCTCGGTTAGGAGATCCCTGCCCACTGAAAAAGGCAGGAAGAAGTGGAATAAAAGAAGTTGGAAAAAGATGATGGCATAAGACCCATCTGGGTCTTACTGGGTCTGACTAGGTCATCTCTGTAAATACCTCAAAGATGTCAAAGTTAACATGAACTCTCTACATCCTTCCAAGAGGAAAAGACTTCTGACTCCATAAATTTCTTCAGTCCAGCTGGCAAAGGCTGAGACTTGGTGGTTGGAAGAGGAAGCCAGATAAATTCAAGCTAGAAATAAAGTCCTTTGTCTTTTTCAAATCTGGAGGTTGCTGGCCATTGAGATTTCCAGTGTAACATACAGACAGCTTCCAGCCCTTGGCAGTTCCAGTCCTGCTGAGATGCCCTCTCACAGGCTGCCCCACCACTCTGTAAGCAGGTGCAGGTGAGGTGCAGGGATGGTGGGAGAGGTTCTGCAGCTGCAGGGTGCCCGCAGCAGAAGCACAACTAGCCTGTACTGCTTCCCAGCCATTCTGCCTCAACTTGAGGAGGGCCCCGGAAAGCAAAGCCGAGGCTGCCTGCAGAGAGCCACCCAGAGCTCTGAGGGGGAATCAGTGCTGGCAAACCGTGGTGGCCAGCAAAACTCTCATGAGGCCCCCAGTGTGGGACTGCTCAGAGGAGAGGGGTGACCTTTTCTGTATCTCGTGCTGTGCACTGGAATGGATACCTTGACTTGAACCAAGATCTATTTGTTTTCCCTTCCTTTTTTTTTTTTTTTGAACATGTGACAGACTATTTGCCCAAGGATGGATTGTCAGGTGTCTTTAAAAGCTTTACGGGCACATTTCAGCAGAAAAATATAATCAACAGTTGATTTAAAAGTTGCCATCACTCATCCAGTGTTTATTTTATATTCAGGTTACATAGCCAGCTTAGTCAGACACTTAATCCACAGTAGGTTCCAGCTCCAGGCACTTGAGTATTTTACTTAAAACAGCACTGCCCAGCACAGCTCACCTATAGGAACCAAACAGGCATTTCTTCCCAGCCCCCAAGCGAGCGCCTCTGCCATAGCCCAGAGTCCCTATGAGCACGAGCGTTTCCACAGCAGTCTTTTCCTCCATGCTGCAGGACTGCTGCTCACATGGGATGGGACAGTAAAATCCAGACAAAACTTTTCAAGGACTTTATAAAAGAGCCAAAGAGATCTTGGGCACTGAAGTGACAAGTGCCCTTTGCTTTCTTGCAGATCCCCAGGTATTTGCTGTGATGATATATGGAGCTGGGCCTAATCCTTGATGTCACCTCAAATAACCCAGTGTGAACCACTTACAGAAGGCTTTCAAAAAGAGAGCAGCAGCTTGATCTCTGGTGCAAGTGAGAATGTGTGGCAAATGGGCACAGGAAAGTGGGTCTGCCTCCTGCTCACAAATAGCTACGCTCAGCCTCATTAGAGCAAGACTCGGTTTCCCCAAACTGAATTTGAGCAGCAGAGGGAGAGCTTGTAAACTCCTCCATTTAGAAGAACCTCTTCCTACCCATTAGTCTGAGCTCCTAAAGTCTCAAACCTAAAGTCTAGGTTTGCTCCTCCGGTTGCTGCATGAGCATTTCCTGTAGCCAAATGCCAAATCTTTCAATCTTCTCTCTGACCCCGACAATCGTATCTTTGGCACTGTAAGAACAGAGGTAAAAATGACAGGTCTTGAGACAGGCTGTAGAAAATCCTGCCAGATGTCTGGACCTCACCCCACAGGATCCCTAGGTGTGGGACATCTCCTGTCCAGAGTAGCCAGCTTCAGCAGAGCGCCTTGATGGGCTGGCTGTGGCCTCAAATTGCTGGTAGTTGTACTAGTGTCTCTGACCCACGGGAGACAGGACTGATGGCAGTGGGCTCTCTGCGTAGCCCAGCATGAATAGGTCCCTGTTGCCTATAGGCATGTAGTATCACAACCAGACTGAGTTGCAAAGCATTTGGGGAAGATGCCAGTCTTGCCATTGCAGTGTCCTTCAAGCCAGTCCTCATTCACTGGAAAAACATAAAGGAGTAGCATGAGCCTTGTCTATATGAGCAGGCTTAATGAGAGTTTTCATTGCTGCAAGTTTGCACATCTTGAAGGCTCAAGTCTGAAACAGCACTGCAGAGAAGCCATCTACTCCTCACTATCCCCACTCCCTCCCTGTAACAGACTCTGAAAGCCTTGCCCAGCAGAGTATTATTGTCAACGGAACTAGAGAGCTACCTTCAGAGAGGACGTCCAGGGTGTCTCCTTTGCTGAACTCCAGGTCCCCTGGCCCCTGTGCCAGGTAATCGTGCTGAGCCAGCAGCCTGTAGAGGGTCGGTCTGCCTGAGACGGAATCTGAGCCCTACAGGAGAAAGCCAGAGGAGAGGTTGCAATCGCAAAGCAGAGACTACCTTACAGTCCAGCACAGCGTAAAAGCAGGTCACATAAAGTGCACATACCTCACACCAGAGTGTCAGTCTGCCCTCTGCCAACTGTTGCCATCTCTTTGCCAGCTCTTCCTCTCCCAGAACTGCAACCAGTTCTTTGCTGTCTGAATGCCTGCAGCTGCAATAATTCATTGAGATGACTTAAAGCCAAACCTAGAGGTAATTCTAGCACCATAAAAACTTGAGTCTTACAAAGCTTCCTTTGCAAACCACCTCTGAGCTTGTCACTGTGGCTCCCTGCTCACTGGACAGACACGATCCCATCAGGGAGAAACCCGTGTGCCTGGACACTTTGCTTGAGGGTAAGATCCTGAATTCTCTTGACTTCATTGACTGTATTCCTCCAGGGATGTTAAGAGCCAGGGACACCTCATGCCAGGACTAACTCACATATCTGACTCCCAAATTGCCTTGTGTCAATCCTAAAGGATTTTAAAAGCTGAGTTGAGCTGAGCTGGAGAAAATCAGATATGCGTCAGCTGTACCTGTGCAGAGTTTTTCTTCATGTTCACTCCTGTTTCTCTACCATTGTGTAGCTTCCTGGGAAGATCCTTTGGGTCTACAGAGCTTCCCTGGACTACTGAGGTGGCCATCATTGCAGCTTCTCCATCACGTGCTGCAGGTGTCAGTGTACACACTGAGGGCATGGATGCTCCCCAGATTGTTCCACAGCGTACCTCAACATCCCCTGCTCTGCTTGCTGGCTGAACTTCTCCCTCAGCAGAGCGCGCAGGTCTGGCAGGGATGGCACCTCGCCTGCTCTCAGCGCTATGGTGCAGTCACAGCGCACTCTCAGCACAGTGGGTCTGTCTGTGCTGGATAATACTTCTTCTTGTGTCCGTGGGATCTGTTGAGAAACACAGCACAGTATTTTAGGACAATCTGGTTATTCCGGACTCTCTCTCATATTGAGAAAGGTGACACAGACACAAACCTTTCAGCTCAATGTCATCACATAATGACAATGCAGTGTCCAAATGCAGGTCTGAATTACAGAGCAGAAACAATGCAATGGGTCATAGTCCAGGATCTAATGTTCCTACTGTGACCCCAAGAAGCCTGTCTCTGAGCTGGATGGCACAGACCCCTCCCAAATCCATATAGGACGTTACCTACAAAACAAGGCCTCATCTTCTAATCAGATGGAGAGATGCAGGCAAGGGCCCCTGTTCTGCTGCTTTTCTGCTTAAAGCACAGATGACAAAAGATGACTCCAAAATCACTGGATAAGCATGGCAAAGCCAAAGGCAACAGAGTTGATGGAGATCTGAAGCTGACAGACACACAAGGGTGTTGGCCCCATGTGGACACAGTAGTAGTTTCAGTTCTCTCAGACACGCCACACTTTCCAGTGTAGAAGACAGTGGTTGGTAATGATATGGAGACACATTAGAGGATGTATTCCCAGAAGAAATCAAATTTGAATGTTCAAATTGCTACAGTACTTAGAAAATACTTCACAGGAAGAGAGGAAAGGGAAGAGTGGGTAATTCAGAGACGTGTCTCTCAAAAAACAGGCTGCAAACTGCATTTCTGAGCACTTGTTGCAGTTGCAACCTGCACAGCTCAGCTCCCTGGAAGGTGAAAAATGGGCACTACTTTGGGAAGGCACAACTTTGGGCTCCCTCACAAAGCAGTATGGTAACAGACATAGGAGTGATGAAGGAAGGAAGGAGTGATGAAGGAAGGAATGTGTCGCTGGAACGAAAGGGCCATCTCTGGAGTGAAAATACAGGCAGAAGTTTTTCCAGTGATTTTTGGGCATCTCAGGACTTTTGTAGGATCTGACTAAGAATTCCTCTAGCAGTTTTTACAACTTTGTTCTCCTGAGGCTGTAGTAGCTTTATTTTGTGAAACTTTTGATTTGTAAAACATCTCACCTTAAAGTCCATTTGGGAAACATCATCATTTGCAGAGGCATTTTCTCCTTCAGGAGATTCTACAGAACAGAAAACAAAACAAAACACATCAACAGTGCATGCAGAAAGGACAGACCCCCCAGAAATATTTTGCAGTCTGGTAACATAGAGGGAGCCGCTGCTGCAGGGGGCAGTCTCCTCACACACGCCTAAAACGGTGAGGTTTTGGCACAGAATTTCAGGTAATACCCGTTGACATCCTTGGCACAGGGGCTACCTGGCTTTTGTTTCACAGGGAGTCGGCTGGGAGGCACCTTGGCAGGAGGGAGGGGAATCCCATTGCTGATCTTCTGCAACAGAACAACACAGCAAAGCATTAAGCAGAAGACATTGGAAACTGAGCAAGGCCAGTGTTGAGGACACAGGCTGCAGCAGGTTATAATGACCCTGCTCAGCCTGAAATGAAAGCCACTGAGGCTTGGCCAAATGCCTAAACTCTTAGGTTTTGCCGGTAAGAGATCATAAGCGCAGAATAAATGTGCATTTTTTTCCCCTGCTCTTAACTTTTCTATTCCAGTTCAAAAAGTACTTGGTCTTTGCTCGAGGTGAAACAACTTGTGTTAATAACACACAGTTATCCTCTCCTGCACTAATCTTACAAACAAATGTCCTGAATGTATTTCTTGGTCCCTTCCTCTCCCTCTAGTTACAAGGTTAGCATCTCACCAATTTATCCACCTTTGGGGTAGGAACATGCTCCAGGAGAGAGGCTGGTATATGCAGCTTCTGCAGAACACAAAGCAGAGCAGAAAATGAGCCAAGAATTGGCTGTGATGGTAGATGCAGCCCCTAATCTGCATCAACTGATCATTATGAGTAATTACATTTTTTACCAACACATAATATATTTATTGACTTTGGATTTCATCTGTCACTTCAGCGACCAGTCAGCTACGATATTCAAATTTTTCTGTAACTTCTCATGGTTTCACTGCTTCAAATCTCAGTATTTTGAATGATTTCACGTTGGCATAGACTGTTGTTGCCACACTCCCTTTACAAACATGACTTAGGAATACATTGAATGCTTCAGGTCACAACAGTGTTTGTGATGCCATTCTTTCTTTAAAAAAAACCCTATTCATTTATGCCTGTCCTTTATTTTATTTTTACCTGTTAATCTATTATCAGTGCTTTCTATTTCTAACACACCAAGATGGTTGGGGTTTTTTGAGTATTTTTGTGAAGAATCCTTCGATAGATTTTTGTTTGGGAAGTACTGGGAGATCCAGGCTTTGGCCTTACCTGTCCATCATGTATGGCTGTAGCCCAGCCATCTGCTCCTCTGGTCAGCACAAAGACCAAACTGTTGGCTTTCACTGCCAACTTTTCTGAGTCCTCAGGGTAAAAATGGGACAAAACTCGATAGTAGCCTGATTCACGGTCCCTAGAGAGAAGAGGAATAAAAGTACTGTTAGTAGTCTTGGAGCCCTAATCCTGAGATGACATTTATCCAAAACATTGCACTGGTGAAAAATGGCATGTGTCAAAACTTTCAGCTGGCAGGAAATTCTGATTTCCATTGTTACTCTTTTGTACCAGCTAGGAACAAAAGGAGCTTGAAATGCAACTGCCACAAATGCAACTGCCACATTTCCACTGTGCTAATAAACATCTTCCAGATTAAAACAATGATTAAAATTTAGCCCCGAGTACCAATGGCACAATATTACCAAAATAAAATGACTTTCACGTTTTTGAACTAGGGCTTAATTTGGCTTAGCAGGGCAGAGTTTGTAGCTAGGAGTTGGAAGCTTTGTCCTAAGAACCAGAACTAGTCACAGTCCCATTTCCCAGCCAGGATGTGATTACTATCTGTTTCCCCAGACCATTGCACTGACTCCTGCAAAGTGCTGTGACATTCTTGATTTAGAGCTATCTGTAAAACTCTCACTAGCTGCAGCATCTCTTGCAGCCACACAAGCCTTTTGTACACTCAGCATTCTCTCCAAGCTTGAAAGGTAGGTGTGGATTTGTAGAGTCTTCAAAACAAAAATATCAGAGGACAAAACATGACTTTCAGAACAGAAATAGTGAGAGAAGAACGAGACCAGAGTGGTACTGGCCACTTACCGCAGAGCATCAGCACTGGGTTCATAAAAGCCTTGTTTCTGTAGGGGGAAAAAACATCTATTTTAAAACAGTATGTGACTGAGCAAAAAGTGCCACCTTATTTATTGCCTCTTGGAAGAGAGACATTATTTCCTCTTTTCCCCCTTCGACCACATTTGCCATACCACACCTTCCAATCTGCTGCTCCACATCTCACCAGCATGCACCTTCATTTTTTCCCACTCTCTCTTTATCCCACTAGGTAGTGTAGAATACTCAAGTTTTTTCCTCCTACTCTTTACTCTAGGTAACTCATATGACAGTGCAAGACAGCCATGTTTATCTGCCAAATTTACAATATTGTTTTGCAAATATATGTGGAGGAGAGCAGAGGCTCCACTGCTGTTATGGCATGGTGAGGAGACCAACATGCATCTTCCAAGGGATGGAGATGCACTGTTGCCTGAGTCCCCTCCAGCCAACGCTGAAGCAGTCCAGCTGGCTCTGAAAGACCCTGCGGTATCTGCTCTGATATGGGGATTCACAGGCAGAAACTGCATGTTTTTTTCAGTGATGCACTCTTATGCTGATGGTGCCGAGACTTGAGGAGCTTTATGACAGCAGCATGATATTGCTGTGTATTCTTAATTCACAACTATGTCCTGCTTACCTGAGGCCTAAGAGGCTCGAAGCCAATGTATTCATCATTGGGAATGATGGAGGAGATCACCTGCAGCAAGATAAATAAATTACTGAATCCAAGCTGCATGAAGAGAGAGCAACATTAGCCACTGACTCATTTCCTTCTGACCTCTCTAGTGGTCAGGCACATCATAAAAAGGGCACAGCTGGACCCCCAAAACAACTTCAACTGCCCTTGTCCCTGTTTTCTGAAGAGGTCTCTGACATGACATTTATGCCATGTTCCATGGCCACAGAAGAGATCAGAGAAGTTCTTTGCTGACTTGTTAACTACATGACAAAACATTTGTTACCCAAGTGCATGTGTGTCACACTGGGAATGGAGTGGTAAGAGTGGGAAAAAGAAATCTACTCCCGTTGAAAATGTAATTGTCAGCAAAATGACAATCATAAGGTTCCCTAAGTACCTGCTTTGCTTTCTCAGACTTATAATGACTAAGATGGAGAAGATTTTTTAGCAGCAAGGTGAAGTTTTGATAGAAGAAGGCACAGTTGTAACAAATCTGATTTTGTGTTTCCCAGATGTCCTGAGTGGCTCAAAGCCCTGAGACCCTGCTTTGGGATCTCTCCCAGAGCAGGGACTGATGTCCAGGCCATCAGTAATGCTCTCTGGAGATGTCAGAAGTCTTGATTTTAACCTGTTTGTTGTTAATCCTAGCCATCATGTGCCTCACATGTTTTTATATGCTATGTTTGATTATTCTGTAGATAAGATGATGTTATCTTTTACCTTAGGTTTACCCAGGAAATCTTTCGAATCCAGCTCTTCAACTTCCTTCTTTCGTGGTCTGAAAAATTCCCCAGGTGGAACCTGCATGGGCTCTAAAAACAGATGCTCCTAGGGTTTTGAAAGAAGATCAAGGAAAAGCCATCAATTAATTTTAAATTAAGACCAGCAAAAAGCAGGTAATGCTTCTCTGTCTGTAGGAAATAATCTACAGGGAAGCATTAGGGTTGTGAAAAATTATGGTTGTGAACTTGAAAAACAACACTTAGATTTAGCCTACGTATGAATTCAAAATCACGGAGGCTACTGCTCAGTGCTGAGTCACAGGCTGACTCTGTTGACTTTGGATGGGTGGTAAGGGAGGGCAGTGAAGTAAAGGTTGTTAAACAAATCTGATCAGTTTTTCCAGTTGGTTTTGAATGTTGTTGTTCAGTGAGTCTGTACACCCACAGAGTGGCATCCAATAGCAGATATAATGCACTGACACAGAGGGCAAAGGTGGTGCTAGAAAAGAGTATGAGTCTATAAAAAGCCATTGTCCTTTAGAAGGATACAAAAGTGACAAGGAAGTATGGAGGTAACAAAACAATGACTCTTCCATGGAAAGTAAATTAGTAAACTGCCAGTTCTTCCTGATCTAGCAAGAGTGGAATTGCACTGAGGCTAATAGGAAACTGTTATTTAGAACTAGCCCCAAAAGGAAGAGTATCACCATATATATCTACGTCCTTACTGTTCAAAATGCCTTAGACTCTATCACTAGGTGACCATGTGAGTGGATAGGCAGGAGGGACTAAACATGTAACAGCTGGAACATTTTTGTCTTAGATTTTTTAACTTATGCCCAATGTACCCCCAGAAACAGCCCAAAGTGGTAGTCTTACCTGCACCTGCTCAAGGGCCAGGTCCAGGATTGCTGTTCTTCCTTCCGGTCTCCACACAACAGCCTTTTCTAAGGTGGCTTTAGCTTCCTGCCACTGTCCCAGGCGGCACTGTGCTGCTGCAGTGCTGTACAGCACCTAGAGCAGTGAGGAGGGAACAGAACCATCTGCCCTTTAACTCAGAAGATTGAGGTTGAGTGGAAATCAGCCAGTCTACTGCACTCAGCAAACTAGCTAAGAGGGACCTGGTACTAAAACACCAGGTCAGAAAGGTCAGAGAGAATTTCCTTGCCAAGGTGTCTGGTTTTCTCTTCATATACAGTTGGGTAATATTTTTCTGATGTGCAAAGTCACTCGAACTCTCCCTCCCTACCGAATAACCTAACTGACGCTGCACTTTGCAGTGGGCTGCAAATGTACAAATTGTCAGCTGTATCCTGCTAGCCTTTAGCAGCTTATAAGGAAGTTCTATGATGATGTGTGGGGTGCAGGAACCTTACAGACTGGATGTAGGGAAGCCTTGATCTGTACCCTTGAGTAGAAAAGTTCTTCTTGTCACAGTGTATAGAAGTGGCCCAACAGTGGCCCCTGTTAGATCTCTTGCTACCTTTTATGATATGGTTCTTGGCTTGCAAGTTGCTTTAAAATATTTGGATGTAAGCAGTGTTTGAAACAGAGATGCAGATAACAAGATGCTTTTCCTTCACTCATTCATCCTGCTACTAGAATATTGCCATTACTGGGTATTGCCATCTACTGGGTAGAATGGCCATGCTGAAAACCTACAGGAACTTTGAAGATGCTCTTGGAGAAGCAAGGCACCTGCCACTCAGGCCTCTGAGAGGCAGAAACTCCCCCTCAACTGAGAAGCAATGCCCATGCGAGTGGCAAAAACCTGTGGATTTTGGAACCATGCACATCTTCTCTCCCCTGAGGGGATCACATGCAGCATATGAGAAGCCATGCATGGAAATCTGATGACACGGTTCTCTGGAAAGATTTATTTGTATATTTTTTTAAAGCAAGAGAGCCGCAGCTGGATCTGAGTAGAATAAGATACAGTTGAATCAGGAAGCAGATTCTGAGTCTAAAGTGTCAGCACAGGGACGGCACCATATTCTGGCAATGTCTGTAGCATGTGGAGGGAGGAGCTGTTTGTTCATACCAAGGAAGGTCCCGATTTCCTCCTGAGGCACTTTGGGCATTTTTGCAGCTGACTACTCCTCAGGGGGAACTCATTGTTTCCAAGGTGTGTGAGCTGATGGAAAGGACTGTTGGGGACATTCATATTGTTCAAAGACACTGAAGCTTTTAAAAGCAATCAGGTTTAAATGACCACAAATGGCAAGTGCAACTTCTTCCCACACAGGTGAAAAGCACACAAAAACTGAACAAATCTGAATGACAGGTTCCTGGGCAGTCTTGGTTTGAGATACACAATGACCCTTCACTCCTTTTATAGAAATGAAGGACTGAATACCTTTTCCTGAATCTGCTTTTCAGGCCACATATATAGACTCACTTCAGAGAAGAAATGAAACTTACAGTCACCCACTTACATCTTCTATTAAAACACTGCATTTTTACAAAACTATTTACAGTACACTTAAGCTCGGGTCTTTATTTAACAGGATGTGGCAGGATTGGTCCATGGAGCAGTGTAAGAGGTAGAGGTGGAAGTGCTGTAGAAGTGATAAGCATCATCAAGCAACTTGAAGCCCAGGTTATAAGGTTAGACCTAAAGGTAATATTAAAACCTCTGCCTATAGTCAGAAAAATTTTCATGCACATGAGCTTCATCATAAACAAATTAAGCTTCAATTATAAACAAATTATGTTCCCATCTGTCTATACTTCAAGCTATTTCTGCATTTAGAGCATAAGAGTTCACAAAATGCATGTGTGTGTCTACACAGTTAAGCTAAAAATACATCCCTATACAACGAGCTGTAGAAGTGCTCAGAACAATTTTAATTGTCAAACTATAAGCAATTTGCCACAACTTTTCAAAGATCCTTTAAGAAAAAAAAAACTGCAAGCAGAAAATCGTTTTTCTGCTACTGTACTCTCTGGAAAAGTAGTTAGGGTAATAATACCCATTTCTGAAAACCTGATGAACACCTTCAAAGGGGAAGGACTACAGAGACACAGAGTGACCATTACCTCCCATGCATTGAGCACATATCTCAGCCCTAGCTGCTTGTAGTCGATGAACGGGTTCTTTCTTAGATGGGTGAAAGCCGTATGATAATCAGAGAGAGCTTCTTCATACCTACAAAGCAGAGACAATGTTAAGAATGAAAACATGCCTAGACTATAATTAGGAAGTGCAAGAATCAGACTAGCAAGGAAAATCATTCCCTTCCCAATGGCTTGGGTTAGAATTACTTCACTGGAGACATGTATAATCTTGTGACCACAGAAAATTCCCTGTCCTCTTTTTATTGGTCTTCACTACAAAATGGATGTGGTTTCTCTCTCCTCCGGGCTTACCTGCATTACTTTACTTTTTGGGATGAATGATTTTTTTTGGTACCTGAAGTGCAGTCACAGTTCCCAGGAGGACAAAGTGCCAAGAACAAGGATTAACAAATCCCTGAACTTACAGCGGTTCCCTGCCCAGCTCTCTCTGGTAAGCTTGGCCTAGCAGCCTGCTCAGGTGCAATGAAGAGATGGCTGCATAAACAGTGCTGCCAGTGAGTTCCAAAGACACATGAATGGATCAATACTAGCAGAACTCTGGAGACACCCTAAGGAAAGGAATCAGTTTGAATTTACACCACTTTTACTCAGGGCAGAATTTGATTCAGCTCCTAAAAAGGCAACAAATTCCCCATCGGGAGGGAGGCACTGGGGCAATCCCATGCAGGGCAAGTGAGCTCAGCAGCAGCTGCCTTCGAGGCTGCAAGTGGTGAAACAGAGGGTCTGGGAAGGTCCATACAGCACCCACTTGCACAAGGAGTTAGCGACAGCATCAAGAGAAGCTGCCACTGTCAATGCAGTGACACTAATGGGGCAATCCCAATGTTAAACCAGTGAGGTCGAGTTCAGGCCACATAATCCACTCTCAGCAGAGAGCAAGTGTCAGACACCCTGGGCAAACTCCGTTTTCAGGAATGCGTGGGCAGGCTCACATGTAACATGTAAAGACCCACCAAACAGTGCAATTATAATTTTCATTTCCATTCAAAAAGTGAATGGCGACATAAACATGCAGGAGTGATTTCCTTCTCCTTGCGGACAGGAGAATAATGTCACATACTAGTCTGCCACTCCTGAGGTCCCAGAGATGTGTAACTCCTCTTAGTTCTCCTCTGTAAACAGGAGATAACCCTGGTCAACTTGTGACGTGGCTTACAAGGCCAAACTGGACCTCATGAACTGTTTATGATCACTGGAAAAAGTGAATTTTAGGAAGATAAATTATTATCAAAAAAAAAAAAAAAAAAGAAAACGGGCAAGCACTTCACTTACATTTCTAACTGCAGACGGACAAACCCTCTCTGAAAGAAGCCAACAGCTAGAGAGTTGTCCTTGGCAACTGTTTTATCAAATGCCTAAGGAAAAAAACACAGACACCTCTCAAAGACTCGTTAAGATGCTGCTAGGTCAGCGGCTGGGCACACGCACGCAGCCCGCACGGCCACCCGCATCCCCACTCCACTTGCCCCCCGAGCGGGGTGTTGTGGCCAGTCAAAGCTGTCCTGCCGTGGCTGTGCTGCACGTGTGGCCATGGGCCCCACTGGGGGCTGCTCATCCAGGCACACAGGGAAAAGGCAGCTCAAAGCCTCCTTCTTTGGGCGTTGTATGAGGCAGGAGAGGTGGCATGAGCCAAGCAACATTTTCAGTGATCTCCTGGAACAGAAAATGCAAACTAATGAGCCACCCAGGCGCTTGTAATCTGAAGACTCAGTAGCCTGCAGCAAAGTTTGCCATCGCCTTCCACCCCTCTTTCTGCCCTGTTGAGCCTCCCTGACCTGCAGGAATAATTCCAGTGAGCCGGTCAGGCTGGAAAGAGCCGTCTGAAACAGCCAGGGGCGGTGAGCAGGCAAACAGTGAGAGATCTGCAGGATTTTGCATCATGCACCTATATGATCAATATTCCTGGTCCAGTTTGCAAGCTAAATCCAGGCATGAATCATCAACGCAGATAACAGCTCATGGCAGCTGGCTCAAGGTAACACTGAGCCAGGGGAATTAACATCCTTAGTGTCTTTTCTGAGAAAGATGGGTGGGTTTTGGTGGTCACTGCGAGCAGACAGTGTCCGGCTGATGAGCCAGTCCTGAACCCCTGGACTTTCCTTAGACTTCCCAGCTGCGCTGTGCTACCGGTGCAGGAAGCCAGGGGTGACGGCCGCCTTCCCAGGGAACCCACCAGCATGCCTCACTTTGATGGTGCGATTTATTACACTATAAAAGAGAAGAAAAATGAGGCATTGCTCTATGCAGAAGCAGAGCCGAGCTTTGTCCCAGCCCGCGGACTGGAAATGTCCGTCGGGGCTGGAAACAAAGCTCTGGGGCAGCCCCGTCAGGACGGCAGCCTTGCCGGTGGCAGTGGGGCTGGCGCTGCTCCCCCGAGCGCAGGGATGTTCCCAGACGAGCTGCTGCTTTGGGGCGGCCGGGGCAGTTTCCGCCGGCCGACGCAGGGGCAGGGCGCCCCCCCCCGTCCCGCAGCCGCAGCGCCCGCTCCATCGGCACCCACAGGGGAGCGGATAGACAGGCCCTCAGAGACGGACAGCCTGGATCAGCCCCGGATCAGCCCCTTTGGGCTTGAGGAGAGATTATGCAGAAAACGCTGGTTTTGTAGCATTATCCCCTCAAAAATAATAAATAAATAAATACATAAAAACAGAAAACAACAACAACAAAACACCCCACCGAGGAAGTGGTGTCGCTACCGAGCCCTCGGACCCTTTCAGTTCGTCGCCTTCGGTCCCTGCTCCCGGCCAGCGCCACCGAACCTGCCCCGGCACCGACTCCCAGCACCTGTTTCCAGGCTGTGCGCGGAAGCGGCTTCCCACGGGCAGGGGCCCCGAG